GTATATACGTGTGTACAGTACGTATATGTGTATTCTTGCACGACCATATTTACTTAATATGTTATCACATCCACAGCTCAACAGCGTGCAAAATGCGCTACATCCATACGAGGCAAAAGTAGACCAGGGCAAAGGCATAGTAGAGTGTCTGATACAGTACATGTGCCCAGCACAGGGCAAACGACTGATCGATGCCACCCAGTTTTACCAAGCATTGGTTTGTATTGTAGTGTGTATTTGTTGGACATTGACCATATGTATATGAATACAATCCAACAGTATGCATAGAACACTATGTTGTACTTACTTCTTAAATGGTGTGTTGTAACCTTATATTTGACATTTTGTAGGTGTCGTATGCATGGTGTATACGATTGATAAGGTTTTTAGTGTATGTTTGTGCGCCAATTCGACAAGCCCTATTAATATGTCATGACAGTATTTGATTATCCAGTCATTCTTTACTTCATATACTGGAGTGACAATATTATGTCATACATCCGTACGCGTGGTCGCTTAAGTACTTCTCATCCTTGAACTTGTCGCGTTCTGCAAGCATATTGACATCCGTGTATATGTGTGCACACCTTACCAAATTCATCCGGTATCCTAAAACAACAAATCTATGCGTGTTTTTCAATCTTTACAAGACCTAATATCTTACTCTGAATGTCTCTCATGCTATCAGTCTCTAGCGATTCATGCTTGGACTTTGTCACACTTGAGTTGTACAAAATACAATGCTGAGATGACCATTTAATTTTATACACACCTGTATATTTTACCCTCAATTTGATCATTGTACTACGCCGGGACAGCTCTCCATTCTCATTCACGTTATCAGGAATTTCGATCCTGTTGCATACGTTGTACGTGCGATTCATTCATAGAACTAAGCTGATCTAGCCATTTTTGCCTGTATCTATCCATACGTTACACATTAAACTCAAATACAGGACTAATCATGATAGGCTTTTGCGCTACGAGACTCCGCACACACTCACACTTCTCGCCCTGATTTTTAGATAGTGCTATACTGAGATAACCGCTTATGCTTACACGAATTCATAAATCTCACACTAGTTCGAGTACAGTACAAGAATGACAATATTTCCATATATCTCACATTGAATTGGCATACATCATTACACTAGTAATGTATATCTATACGTTTTACACTATGTTCGAAAGCAGTACTACGGCTAAGTTAGCAATCTATGCTTTCAAATATTTTCCCTCCCTGCTCACACAATTCTCCATATCTTGCATCAAATGAAATACAGCTACTGCACTACGCTCTGTAACCAGTCATGCTTACCATATCCATATACTTACGTTGGATTCAAATGTAGTACTACGCTGAACTAGCCATCCATGCTTCGGCATGTGCCTCGCAGGACGATCTTGCGGCTGCCGCGCTGTTCGTCGCTATGCAGTGCGATGTGGGCCAAGATATCAACCCATGGGTACGACATTTCGTACGAGAATACGGTATTCGCGCACCACAACTCCTTCGTCGCATGACATACCTTTTTGGTTCCATAGTACCGTGACTGGTTTCTCTTAAGTTGTGTATAGAGTTTTGGCGCAATCGCTTTGAGCAATCTTGTAAGATATTTTGAGTGGTTGTATCAAGCACTTCCCTAATTAGGTTGTTGCTGTATAGATTAAATTAGAGTAATGTAGGCCCGGATGGAGTATAAATGGATCAGGGCATATCAGGGATTTTGTTGGTCGAAACTACGTTTTTTTTATCACCCTCGCTGAATACAAACTATGACCAACATGCGAGTCAGAATATGAATGCGATATGTATGATGTGCGCAATATGCATGTACCGCATGTGTTTGTCAGGAGACTTATGAATAATTCATGTCGGTACAGCACTACATTAGTCGATGTACTGTATGTATCTATATTCAAATATGTATATATGGTCCATATATGGTCAGCTAGAGTTTATGCATGTTTCAGGTCTCATGAATATAGCGAGTAGAATTTTATCGAGTGTTGACTAGTGACATCATCTCAAGACAACTCTATACCACAAGAATAGACCGACAAGATGATTCTCATCACCGGAAAAGAGATCGAGGACTTAACGCCTTGGACGCTTTCAATTGTTACGGTATGAAGTATATGAAATATCCTGTATAACATGGGAAAGCACGCCTGCACACGGCAGAGTGTAGAAAGATATTTGCTATATATATATATATTTGTGTGTGTGTGTGTATACGCTTATATTAATTAAATCCG